TTATATGTAAAATATGTCTGTTTTATTAATAATAATATTCACGATGTTTAGAAAGATAAATTGAATTTTTATATTCACACGCGTGTGGCCGGGACGTATTAAAAAAGAGGTGTGGCCTCGGAGGGTTAATGATGCAAGGGCATGCAGACGTACTGTTACAATCGTTCAAGAAAACTGTTCAACATTTTATGTGTTGCTGCAGAAGAAATTCGTAATGTCGGCGGACAAATTATACGCTAGTGGCTAGTGCTGCTAGAAAAGATCGTAGTATTTTAAGGATACATGCTGTAAATGATATTGTTTGTCCCTCGCTTGTAGTTTGAAAATGTTTGATTATTAAAAACATTTGATTATTAAAATCTTACATTCAAAATAACGCTTATAGCAGATAAACAAAAATCTTGTCTGTATTTGACATTACACTCGTGAAAATTAAGCGTGTAAAAAATCTGCAAAAGAAATGTAAACGTGCAAAGAAACTATTGTCAATAACATCACACATACACACACAGAAGAAAATGTAAATAATTGATTTCTTTATTATTACAATAATTTGAATATTGAAATTATTTTGTACCATATGCTTTCTCACACTTATATGTATGTGATTAATAATAAAACATGTTAATGACAAATAATAAATTACAAGAGCGTATTCTGGTTTGAAAGATCTTAAGGATGTTCTCCGGAAAATCGATTTTCTCTAGATTTTCTTGAAACTGTGAATATACATTAATTTATAGGTGTGCTTTATGTGTAGTATAAATTTTAGTACTTCTTGCGGTATTAAAAATCGAGCTTCTGAGCTACTGACAATGAGCTTCAAAGTTTTAACTTTTAACACGGAATTCCTATTCCGAGGTATTGTGAAACAGACATTTTAATAAATTGTGAAAAAAGTTTTTTCTAAATGTTTTTGAAAGACTAGTATATGATGCTTTATAAAAATAGAAATTAATAATATGCGATAAGTTTCAATACCTTTGCGGTACTCGTTTTCGAGAAATACTTGTAAAGTACGCGATTTGAAGTTAACTTCTTATTTTTTAGTTGTTATATGTAATATTTAGTAAATTAACTTTAGTAAAATAAATTTTTCTTTTTAAGCATGAATATAAGTTGAGTATGACTGGAGCCGGAGAAGGTCTTTAAAAATAGGTATTTTTCAGGAATTTTTTATAGGGAAACGAAGAAAGCGAATAACGTTAAACTTTGCATGTTCTTTTAATCTTACTTTAAAAATCTATTTTTATTTTTTAAGTATAAAGAAAAATATTCTTCTTTTTTGTTACTTTTATGTTATATCTTGATCACTGAAAGACATAAGTATGAGAAACGAAGTAAATGATTCTAGCTGTTTTAGGTATCAGAAACGTAAAAACCAAAAATTTTCTTATTCAAAATAAGTGATATGGCTATCGTCTGAACTAGAATAAACATTTTCTTTTAATAAAATACTAATAAAATTTTTAAAAAAGTTATATTTTTAATAAAAAAGCCGCTCAAAATGAAAATATTGATTTAGTTCTAGTTCAGACGATAGCCACACTTCTCCTGCAGAATAAGAAAATTTTAGCTTTTTGCGTTTTAGATACCTAAAACAGCTAGAATTATTTACGTCGTCTGTCAGTTATAGTGAACCAGGATATAACAGAAAAAAGAGCATTTTTGTTACTTAAAAAATAAAAATAAATTTTTTAAATAAAGTGAAGAAAACATGCAAAGTTTAACGTTATTCACTTTCTTCGTTTCCCTATAAAACATTCATGAAAAATATACATTGTAAAGATCTTTTAAATTAGAATATCTCCGTTAATAATTCTTTACATTCTCTTTCTGACGTGTGTGTGAAGCTATCATCTCATTTTGCAGAAACTCACAAATTATTGAGAGTTCTGGCTTCCTTTTCAATAGTTCTAGAGTTCTTGATAGTTTAAACAAATAGTTCTGGCCATTAAAGCCATAAAAACGCGTCAGTACAAACTGAGACGCTATTATAGGTTCACGCAGCGTCTCACTTTGTCCTACACAAGTTCCACCACTGTATCTCATCAGATTTTGCAAGATCTATAGTTCTATAACAGTTCTATAAAGAGTTCTGCCATATAAAAGCAAAAAAATTAATTATAAGGCACTTAAAAAAAATTACAATGCAACGAGTATACCGAGTTGAGACGCCAGTTGAAATCTCGGAGTTCCGGTTTATGTAAAATATTTTTCGAGTAGTTTTGAGCATATTGAAACATTTTCTAAAGAGTTCCGAGCGTTAGAATCTTTGTGTTATATTAAAAAAAGTTAATATTAACCGAAAAATAATCATGACAGAAGAAGATGAGACGCTGTGCGAAATCTCGGAGTTTTGGCTTGTATAAAATATTTTTTGTACAGTTCTGAGCATACTAAAGCATTTTCTAAAGAGTTCCCGCCACTAGCTACGTTGCATATATATGTTTATTAACTTTAGCAAACACTAGCTACGTTGTATAATTTTTAAATAAATTAATACCGCTCGAAAATCAGGAATTTATCGAAAATAAGCTGAAACGCTGGCCGTATTTCGACAGTTCTGTGAGTTCTGTTATAATTCTCGTGTAGTTCTGAACGTGTTCTAACGTTGTCCCATTTTATTCTGGCAATAAGCATTATTTATTCATTTTTTAAATAATTTTTATCGCTCGAGAAAGACCCTATTCTCGAAAAATTCCTGGCTTTCGTGCGTTATTAATTTATTTAAAAATTATACAACATTTTCTATGCCCGGAACTCTTTAGAAATTGTTTTAGTATGTTTAGAATTGTACGAAAAATATTTTATATAAGTCAGAATTCCGAGATTTTCTACAGCGTCTCACCCATATACCTGTAAATGCGTCTTTCTTGGGAGATAAAAATTATTTAAAATATAAATAAATAATGCTTATCGTCAAAACTCTTTAGAAAACGTTAGAACACGTTTAGAACTATACGAGAATTATAATAGAACTGACTGTTACCAATGTGTATTGTTTATTTAAGAAAGTGTTTTTATTTTTATCCAATTATCCTTCTGTTGTTGCTCATAATTTGGCCGCTTGAACATGCATTAGATAAAATAAATTTAATAAGAGTGCAAGAAACATTATAAACTACCATTTTTTTCTCAATATAGTTAATAATATAATTATTGGTATGCATTTAAATATAAAATTTAAAATTTATTATGCTAAAGTAAAGGTTTTTAATGTAAGACTTTTTTAGATAGAAAAGCATAGAACGGTGATTTCTATACATTACATTTACGAATTTTAGTTTTTATGTTTATAAATATTTATTTAATTAATTATATTTGCAATCTTTATATATTTATAAATTTCAAATGTATATACATATATATATATATTTTTTTAAATTTATTTAGTTATAAATATAAAAGTTAAAATTTGTAAATATACACGCAAATGTAACGTATAGCGGGTATAGCGTATCGTCGATTTGTCAACTCGAGACTCGGCACTCGGCGAGACACGAGACGCAATACTCAAAATGCGTGGCATCGTGGTATAGCCCATGATCATGGTATAGCCGGCCCGTGCAAAGCGGCAACGTCACAGCTCAAGAGAGACAGCAGATCGTATGTCTGCCCTTCTCTCCCCGCTCGAAGCTTGCCGAGTGCCTAGCGTACACGGACAGAGGAGGGGCTTGCGCGACCAGCATATCCCTTCCATCTGAGTAGTTCGGACACGAACCATAGCATGGATACGAACCCATGTATCGTTACCCGAGTCCTCTCTGATCGTTACCGAGCGTAACGCCGTAGTTGACGTCCACTTTCTCAGAGGGTAGATTAGGACAGACGTCCCCCGAAGCCGGATGGCCGCTCTCAGGTTTCTCGCTACGCGGAGCGATACCGACCGTGATTCTTTATGCGACGCGACGATCAATATTTTTTCTGATTCAAGATAATTGTTTTATTTACATGTAATTATCCTATATTATACAACGCGAAGCGAAACCGTACAGTGACTCTTTTACGCGACTAAAATGCATGTGACAGGAATTATAAAGGTAATTCTACATAGAAGTCGTAGTCGTGAGTTGTAAGAAATTGACCAATCACATTCGAAGTTGAGGAGAATATTCAATTTGTGATTGGTCAACTTCTTACAACTCACGACTACGACTTCTATGTAGAATAACCATAATAGTTTACGTTTATGTGAATATTACTTCTGTAGTAACTTATACGAACGATATCATCGTAGTTACTATAAAATCTCCCGTTTATGCGGAGGAATTATCGTATCGTTCGTAAGTTACTACAGAATTAAGTAACGCTCGCGTAAACGTAGTATAGGTTAGATTACCGGTTTCTTATTTTACATAAAACGCGAGATTTACTTATGTATGCAAGTTTAACGCCTATTGAGTTAATATGAAATAATTTTCCTAAATGTAAAAATAACACGATGTTATATATATGCGGTTTGGCGTGAATATATATGTATCGCGACAATAGCCGAGGTGATCGAAGAAGTTTGTATAATGTCTCAATTCAACGGCCCCTGTCCCTGGTTGAAAGTGTTAACAATGACATTAATATCTCTCACACTGTCAAGCCAAATTGGCTCTTCGTTCAGCTTCCGACTCATTTATCATTTCTCCTTTTTTTTATGATGTATTGATTGGTATAACAATGAATTGCTGCCAGTTCCAGATGTATTGAACAGTAAGTGATATAATCTTATATTCTGATTATACAATACATTTTTACTTTTAGAGGATGATTACGTGGCTGTATATTGGAGCGACAAATGGATTAGAGAACGCATTGAACGTCCAGATCCATCGGGAGAGAGAAGCGTAGGACGATTACTCGATCACGGTGGTTACTGGCAGTTTAGTAATTCGTAATGTAGGCCATTGATTATAATTATTTGAGCCTACCCTTCCAAGCCATCGAAATCTTTTTAGCAAATATTCAGAACCAAAAAACGGTAACTATATATTGACGTTATAATGTACTATTCTTCCAGATTATATACATCTCTACTCAAAATTATTTATCTTTGGATATGTAATTATACTTTGATGTTACTCTTTTGCAGGTAAATGGTCGACAGAAGCTTACAATGTGGTACAAAATTGTTCCTCAAAGGGAGTTACTGCTCAAGCTTAGATTGAAGGTCACATTCAAACTAATATTTGTGCAAATATTTATTTTATGATACAAAATTATGGGGTAAGTAGTTATTATTATCTAATCTTCGAGAATCTTTTTGCAGAAACGCAAATTAATTGAAATTAATTGAATTTCTTTAAGTTAATTTCCCTTACTGAAGAACTGGTAATGAACGGACATGCTGAACAAGTAGCATGGGACCAGATGAAGCTAGAAACACTTGAATCCATCTGTACATAAGAGTTGTCAAGAAACTCTACAATTTTCACGCATAATCCGCGATTCTTAATCAGTATGAACTAGAGTTTAATACAATCGCCATTGATGATCCCCTTTAATTGCGTCAAAATTGATTATTTTGCTTTTTGACTTCGTTTTTTATTCATGTTGTAAAATAGTTTTCCGATTGTGTAGAATATTTATATTTAGAAAGAAAGAAATTTATAAAGATTGCTATATTGATCGTAAAGTAGAGAAAACAATAACTTAACATTTTACAAAGTAGTGTTACATTTAAACTAGAACATTTGTATCGAATAACTCAGACGAATTAGGAAATTCCTTTTTACGTGACTAATATCTATTTCTGATTGGGGACGATTCGAGAACTCATAGAAATAATTTAATTTCTTTTCACATTTAAATTTAGGTCATCGTAGATTAAACTTGTTACTTTAGAAGTTATTGTTAAATGGCGCATTTTATTTAACATCTCGTGTTATCTTTTCAAATTATTTAAAGGTTGCTAATTCATTTAAAGATTCGTCTTTTGAACATTATTTTTCAGTAACTTGTAAAAAATCCAAGAGGGCCTATCCCGATAGGTGGCTCCACACGTTGCGTGCGGAAGTCGCGGTAACGCGAGGGGCGCTAACGTCAGCGCTACCGTCGCGCGGTCGCGAATGGCGTGTGATTGGTAGGTGGCATCACGAGATGTTCACGTGAGAAGTTCGTAACGGTCGTGCAGGTCCGAACATGTTCCGGCGCGGTCGTGCGAGATAAGTCGAGAGAGTTCGAAGAAAGTTGCGAAAGAGAACCGTCGTGCGTCGTAGGGCTCCCGCCTCTGTAATTTCATCCCGACGTAGCGATCCGCGAGTCGAAGTCCGTGCAATGGATTTCGCGGCAATGTAATAAGTGGAAATATATTCCGAAGTAAACGCCGAAAACCTTGTCTTTCTTTTCCCGCATCATTATCCTTGTCCTTGTCACAGCGTAATAGCGCGGGGTCTGATAATCAATACGGGTGTGCTACGCCAACGAGATCGTCACGTATATTTTACGCCGGGAATAATAACGGCAAAATATTAACTATATCATTAAAAACTTGTATTCCGCACTTCACTGTCGAGGCATAAAATTATTATATGTTTCAAAAGATGGAGACTAAGCTTTCGAATTAATCCAGATGTACGCATATATACTGTATATATTTGATTAATAAGTAATTTATCTGAGACTATTTATTTATTATTGAAAAAATTAATAATTATTTTTCATTAATCATTAATTTTCAAATAAATAGTTATATATTTTTTATAAACTATTTATTAGTTATTTTAATAATAAAAATTTTATTTCTACTAATTACCAGTTTACAAAAAAAATCATATTTACCTATAAATACTAACTTTCACAAACTAGATATTTTTTTCTGACAAATTACTAATTTTTTAAGTAATCTACACTTCTCACAAAAATTAAAGAAATACTAAATTTATCTTTAAAAATAGACAAAATTCAAGCAGCTGTAACTTTGTTAAAAATAAACAAAATTTAAATTTAAAAAAAGGATTTTAAAGCTTGAAATTTCTACTTTCAAAAAGATACTATTATTTTTTAGTTACTTACAGAAACTTACAGAAACAAAAAAATAATAGTAACCTTTCGAAAGTAGAGGTTTTAAGCTTGAAATTTAAATTTTATTCATTTTTAACAAAGTTACAGCTGCTTGAATTTTGCCTGTTTTTAAAGTTATTATTCCCGGCGTTAATATATACGTGACGATCCCGTTGGCGTAGCACGAGTATTGATTATATCAGACCTCGCGTTACTACGATATGACAAGGATATTGGTGCAGGAAAAGAAAGACAAGGTTTTCGGCGTTTACTTCGGAATATATTTCCACTTGTTACATTTCCGCGAAATCCATTACACGGACTTCGACTCGCGTATCGATACGTCGGGGCGGATTTACAGAGGCGGGAGCTCTCCGACGCACGACCGTTCTCTTTCGCGTCTTCCTTCGAACTCTCTCAAACTATCTCGCACGACCGCACCGGAACATGCTCGGACCTGTACGACCGTTACAAATTTCTCTCGTGAACATCTCGTGATGCCACCTACCAATCGCACGCCATTCCCAACCGCGCGACGACAGCGCTGACGTTAGCGCCTCTCGCGTTACCGCGACTTCTGCACGCAACGTGTGGAGTTACCTATCGAGATAGACCCTCTTTGATTTCTTACATATTTGTTGTTATTGCTAATTTTGTGAATAATTAAAAAATAAAAAATAAAAATGTTTTGCAGACCCTTGCTTAACACTACAAAATAGGTGACATCAGTACAAAATTACCTTTTTTAAAAAAGATAAAAAAAGGTGCCAAGTACACGCAATGTATTTTGTAAATTCAAAAATCTAATCTAAGTAGTAGCTTTATATCTTTTTCACAAAATTATATTATCTAACTTAACACAAGTGACATGTATTTAAAAAAAAAAATGTAAAATCTTTAATTTCTCTTTCACAAAATTATATTACCTAACTTAACTCAAGTGACATGTATCTAACCTAAGTGGCAGCTTTATATCTTTTTCACAAAATTATATTACCTAACTTAACTCAAGTGACATGTATTTAAAAAAAAAGATGTAAAATCTTTATTTTCTTCTTCACAAAATTATATTACCTAACTTAACTTAAGTGACATATATTTCAAAAAAAGATGTGAAATCTTTAAATTAAATTGCGCCAATTGTAAAGAGAATATGTATATTGCTTTGAAAGATAGTTATGCAACTACTTTAAAGAAATAAAACTCAAGTGGTATCTTCGTATTCTTATTCAAGGGTCTTCCTATTCTAACCCAAGTGGTAATAGCTTCTTAATTCTCTTCAACAAATTTTTAATATTACAAAGAATCATTTTAATTAGAAAGATTAAAGAAGTAACAGTACAAAATAAAAATATTTAATTAAAACAAAATAAATAAATTTTTCTTGTAAAAAAACTTGGCGCTGCTTTTTTTACTCCTGTCGCATTCTTCCCTAAATTAAGTTTATTGTTTTTTTATTCAATCAAAAATCTTAATACTAATGTTTAAATTTTAATGTTTAAATTTCAAAGTCTAGCAGCGCCAAGTTTTTTTACAAGAAAAATTTGTTTATTTTGTTTTAATTAAATATTTTTATTTTGTACTGTTACTTCTTTAATCTTTTTAATTAAAATAATTCTTTGTAATATTAAAAATTTGTTAAAGAGAATTAAGAAGCTATTATGTCACACGTGCATGGAAAGTGGCCTATCACGCACGCGTCGCGTAATGGGCCACTTTCCACGCACTTGCAACATAAAATAGGGTATGCAACACGTGCGTGAAGTTGAAAATTTCCAGGTGCGGTGACCGCACTCGCCTTCGGCTCGTGCGTCAATTCCGCACCCGTGAATTTTCATCTTCCAGAACTTGTTGCACAAATAACTATTACCACTTGGGTTAGAATAGGAAGACACTTGAATAGGAATACGAAGATACCACTTGGGTTTTATTTCTTTAAAGTAGTTGCATAACAATTATCTTTCACAACACCTCCACGGAAAGTTCGACTTTCCATGCCTGTAGAGAGGGGCGAAAGTGACCAATTTTACGCCAGGACGGCATTAGCGGGACGAAAGTAACCACTTTCCTCCCTAGGGCGGAAAGTGATCACTTTCGTCCCGCTAAACAAGGACGAAAGTGGCCACTTTCCGCCTTAGGGACAAAAGTGATCACTTTCCGTCCTAGGGAGGAAAATGGTTACTTTCGTCCCGCTATGCCGTCCTGGCGTGAAATGGCCACTCTCGCCTCTCTCTAGGCATGGAGGTCAAACTTTCCGTAAAGATATTGTACACATTTAGTATATTGTCAGGATATATATATATATATTTAATA